GCCCCTTGTTTCAACCATTTCCTTCAGGGAAGGGCGCGGAGACAGTCTCTAGGCGACATTGCCGCCTACCTGGGGCGACAAAGGGAGAAACATCTGAGTGTCCCGGCGTGTAGCCATGGCCGATACCGGCCGGCAGCCTGCGGGTCGACATCCCGGCAGGCAGCACCGCTCCTCTCGGCCCCTTCTGGGCCTCCAGTTTGTTTTAATAAAGCAGGACACCAAAATATTAAATGCGGTGAAAGAATGTGTGTTCGCCTCTGACATTCCTGTGGTTTTCTCCTGATAATGGCGCATTTCCCTCCCCTACTCCCTTACGGCTCTTCCTTTGAGCATCCCCTGAAACTCCTCAGTGTTTCTGTAAGAGATGCTTCGCGCACCAGGTCTCAGGTGACGCTGTCACCCGCGGTGAGGAAATCGTGGAAATGCACAAGCCCGAAGGGCTGCTAGCTCAGTTCTCGTCAAATCAGATCTCTAAGGAAAAAGGTGTAGTCGCGAGAACCACTGAAATTCTGTCGATTTTCATTTACCTGTGCCTTCCTCCGAATTAAATTCACTCCATAAATACCTTTTTGTTTTCAAATCAGGGAGTTTGTCACGCTGATCATGTTTTTACTGCTCATTATAACATTAAAAGTAGCCGCAGTTTTATGTCTCTCGACGATTCTGGGACAGATAGGAATTGAAATCGAAAGCCCAAATTCCTCACGATTTACTCACTGTCATCAGTAAAGTATCAGATTTAGTTTCCACGGTCAAACTTGTCCTGAATGTCCTATAAGAGGGAATCGTGCACTTTCCACACCCTCCCCCCGCCCCCCCGCCCCCCTTCCCTAGGTTTTGGTCTAACAAAGTAAATATCTCCAAAATCTCATGCGGTGACAATGAGGCGTTGCTTCAGAGAGCCAACAGTTAAAAACAAAACCCCAAAAGAATCCATCCAGAACAGACAGATGCCCCTCGCAGAGGGATGCCGGAATCCGGCATTCAGAGCTACGGGGAGACAGAAATGTGTCCTGGATCGGGTCCTGTAAATACCATTACATGCTTTCCTAGGCACATCCCACTCACGGCTCTGTCCTCTCTCTCCTCAACGCCACTTACGTGTTACGTGCTGTCGTTGTATCAGATTGTCTTTACCCACAAGAGTAATGCGCCTCTTATTCTCTTCTCTCCAAAGCTTCCACCTCTAATCATGTCGTAAAAAATAGCCTTAATAAAACAGTGATAATTACGCCATTATTGTTAACACTACCCATTAAATATTTAAAAATAGGTTTTCTGGTTTGGTCACCCATTTGAACTAGGTATCACTTTTTGTGGCACTAAATCGTTCAGCGGTATGTCAAAACTTTCTTCCTTTTTAAAAGACGATAAGACTTTAGGGTTCTTTTAGAGAAACTGATGGTGGGTTTCCAGTGCTAACTCGATAGTATCGGTCAAAAGTTATTGACACCCTGTTGACCGGGTAAGAAAAATAAATATACCGCGGAGGAGGGTGTGATGCGTCTTTCCTTCTGCAGGCTTAGCACTTCCAAGGAAAATGCCTGATTTATGAGCGTATCACTCTGGCAATGTTTGAATGTCCCGCTATTACTTCCTCGTTTTGGGAAGGGGGTGTGTGTGCGTTTCGTTTGTTTTTCGTATACGAGACTACATTTCAGACAGCATTAAGACGGAATTCTGTGTCCTGATCCCGCCTTGGCCATATATCATCAAAGAAAGCTGCAAACTTGGAGAAATAAATACGTTTGAAAAGTTTTGACCATGTTTATGGCATCCTGGCTATGACCTAGCGAGCGAGAGAGTAGGTTTTAAATCTCGGTCTGGAGCATGCAGGAAAAATACCCACCCACACCCATAGGGATACACTTTCCAATCTGCCTGGAAATTAATCCCAAATGAGGGAGTATCCTTCCAAATCGAGCATGACAGATCTGAGAGAAACACTAGACAGAAGGCAGCGCGGACCCCGCATTCCCGGCGAGGCAAAACTCCGTGGCGGCAGAGAGAGAGACGGGGCTCCTCGCCCCACCACGCCGCGTCACCGGCTCGTTGACGTGCGAGGGGCTCTTGTGGCGGTACTTCTCCTGAGGGGATGGAAAAATAGACATTTTAAGAAACCTTAACTAATCTAATCTAAATTGACCCCAAAACTTCCGGTACTATTTTTTTTTTTTTTTTTTAATGTTTAGTTTTTTCCCCGTTCTTAGATTCCACTCGGGCCTTCAACTCTCCGTGTTTACCCTTGGCAAATTAAAGAATGTGTATGTGTGGGGGGCGTCCGTCTGTCCGTGCGGGGGTGTTCCACAGCCTGTGCTGCTGCGGGCTGCGTCAAGCCTTCTGTAGCAATGACCGTCTCGGGCTCAACAAAACCTCTAAATCGAGGTACAAGACGGGTGGCTTCTTGGTGGGAACGCATTAAGAATGGGGTGAGGAAGGAGGCAGCGGTGACTCATAAACGAAGATGATAAAATTCCTGGGGATCGGCCAGCATAATCCACAGGAATCATCCCCAGGGCTCCGGTCTGGCAGGGAGAGGATTTCCCATTAACTTCCCCACAATCGTTTCCATTGCCAATTCTGAGATCGCTCCCTTGCACTCAGAATTCAGCTCCTGATTGTGGTCTTATTTAGAAACAGATATGAATATCCCTCTTCTTACTACCACCAAACTCGTTGTGATGAGGAAATCCTCTCTGTCTGCCACAGATACCAGCCAGCTTCTTCCCAACAGGGCTGCTTGGCCGAGCTAGGAAGGAGGCTGGAAGTGAGCTTTTTCGAGAAGCTGGGGCTACGGTGGGCCCAGGGGGAGGCTGAACCTTCACATTCCCCCCAGAGGTGCCAAGAACACTAACACAAATTCCCTGCTTACCCCAATAAAGCGCAAAAACGACGCCACCAGCCGTGGGAAGCGACACCGGCGCGACACCGAAAGAGTCCTGCCCGCCTGGCCTTGCCCCACAGCTCCGGTCCGCACCTCTCTGCTCAGCGGGATAAGCGCTGCCTTTCTGCTCTGCTCAGTACCGAAGACGGACTGCCTTATCCATCCATCCATCCATCCATCCATCCATCCATCCATCCATCCATCCCCCACCCACCCACCTCGGACCTGGTCCTGCTTCCCCGACTCCACGCTCACACAGCCCGCAGAGCCGAGCCCAGCTGCGGCAGGGATCGGCGGCAGGTCCTCACAGGGCACACGTCTGTCTAGAGGCTGGCAGAGGAAAGAAGGGAAAGGGAATTTATCAATGAGTTTTCCATAATTTTTCAAGCTTTGGAGCAGTGCACGGTTCACAACGTGTGGTGGAAAGCAGTGCAGTCCAGAGTGTCATGTGCATGATGTGCGTTTGCATGGAAAAATACGCGCGTGTATACACAGGGAGAAAGGGAGAATGGTGACCACAACCCTCTAAAAACTCGTGGTTTATCACTCTGAAAAGAGTATGCTTATTGCTGGGACCACTCCTTTATGCCTGCATTCAGCAGACGGGGAATCTTGTTTGCTTGTTTGTTTGTTTCTCTCTCTGCATCCTGCTCGCAGGACTAGACGGAAAAATCACAGCATGTTTCCTATTGCGCTGCCTGTTCCCCACCAGAGCGACGTCACCTCAGATATGCCAGTAAATTCCTTACCGGGTTGGGATTGTAATTGGCTGAATGTTTTCTGTATCCTGACTAGCCAATAACACTCCGAGGAAAAAAAAATTAGAACAACCTAGTTACGACAGATGGCGAAAAATGGCTTGACATTACACATGTGAGGCAATGTTAACTAAAGACGAGATCCTTACCGCATTCATTAGAAATATCATAATACGCCAAAAAGATTACACGTGCCACTGTATTTATGGTACAAGGTCCCTTATTTTCAGTCAAGTGCTGTCCAAATGGTTGCCCTTGTCATGTCTGTTTCAACAACATCTGCTAGCTAGAATAAGCTCTGGCCTTGATAACTTACATTTTTTTGAGCCCGAATTACTCTTGGCAGACCTTCTTTTTCCATCCCCTCTCCCCCTTCCCCCTGCCCCGAAAGTAGATAATAATTTGTGCAAAACAATTAGTTAAAAAGAAGAAAGGAAAGCAGACATAAAACCTTCATTAAAGCGCAAAAATAATGAAAAAATTGGAAAAGCAAAGGAAAAAATAAGAACAAACGATAAATGACAGACAGACAGAATAACTACAGTTACAAGTGAAGTAGTTGCATCTTTTCATATGTAAAAACCAATAAATATATAACCGCATTTCCAAATGGTAAACTAACATTTTAATCTCAGTAAACAGAAAGCAATGACAATTATACCGATAGGAACCGATATTGACCCAGAGCAAGAAATCAAAGCTATTTTTACATTCAAATGTCAGCAGCGCATTTCTTTATCCTCAAGTTTGCAAAGGATTCTTAGAATCCTTATATATGCAGTTAGGCGGAAGCTGATTGCCAGCAATAAATAATGCATCCAAGGAAGAGGCTTGAGTACGTATCTTCTCACTTCCAGGATGCAGCTAAGGGTCTTCGCCTCAATTCTACATCAAGGTTGTGGCTTAAAGCAGTCAAAGGGCTATTTAATTGTCAGGCAAGGCTTCCCCCCGCGGAACTCTCTCCGCATGTTACAACATCTTTGCAGCTCCATATGCATCTCTTTTTCACACTTTCTTCTCCATCTCAGGCTCCTACACCTGGTGCATCACGCATTTAGCCCATTCGCCCCGGCTCTTCCTTTCATCTTCCCAATAGCAGACGTTTCTATTTATCCACTGGCAATCAATGTGTGGCGTCACCGGTGGTACTGTAGTGACGACTGCACCATTGAGGATGACAGCTTAGAAAGAAGAGGGCAATGGTGATCCCTCCCAGAGCAGCACAGCAGAGCGCAGCGCTCGCATCACAAGGTCACCCTATCTCACCGCTGCCTCCTCTGCATTGGCAGGAGAGGGTTGCAGGGTTTGTACAAGGCTGGGGCGGGAGCAAGAGGGAGGGGGGGAAGAGATCTGGATTTTTTTTCTCCCCTCCCTTAAGCAAAACCACAATGGAAACCAGGAAGGAGATGGTGATGTTTCTGGAGGGGACTACTCTTGGCGCTCTAGTTGGCAAGAGGGTGCCTAATTTGTCCGAAGCAGTGGGGAGCCCCGCTGCGGAGCCGCAGGAGAAGATGATCCATCGGAACTGCATCAGCCCCAGACCTGGCCCCTTGTCGTCCCGGGAGAGAGGAGGAGGAGGAGGTGGCGGAGGAGAAGACGAAGAGGAGGTGGAGGTGCTGCCAGGGACAGGGACGGTGCCGGAGAGCCGCTCGGCGGCGGCAGCACTGCTTTCGGCCGGACAGCAGCCCCCCGTCCCGGAGCTCCCCTCCAGCAAAGGGCAGCAGAGCAGCTCGGACACCGAGTCGGATTTCTATGAGGAAATCGAGGTGAGCTGCACCCCGGACTGCGCCACGGGGAGCGCCGAGTACCAGCACAGCAAAGGTACCCAACTCCTTCCCATGCCTCCAGCCCCACGTCCGCTCCGGGGCTGGGTGGCAGCACTGGTGGGGCGGGGGGACAGCCGGAGGGGATTTTCCCCTCGTCAGCTGAGCGAGGGGCAACGAAATCGGGTGTATGTGTGTGTCTGCGCGTGTGTGATCTCTTTCCTGACTGATTGCTCACCTCCCTGCCACCGGGAGACTTGTTTGAGAGTCAGAGGACACGGCACCGGGCAGCCCCCGCGTCCCTGGAGGGGAGCCAGGCTTCCCATCGTGGATGCGTCAGGTTTGCAGCTTGTCCCGTAGGATCTTTTAGGCCAAGACAACCACGCACTCTCCTCTTCAATCTGCTCTATTTTATTTTTATTCTTCCCCATCGCCTAGACAGTGCATACTTCAGGAAATCCCTTACGATCCTCCACACCGGCGGGTTTTTTTTGTATGTGTGTGTGTGGGGGTAAGATCAAACGGGTTTTCTGGCCAAGAGCTGTTTGTGGTTTTGCAGGGTGTAATGTGCCCGGGCGAGTGCGGAAGCGCCCATAAAGATTGTAAAATCTCTCGCCGACTCATGCCAGCCCCAAGTGCAGTAGCGAGGGCCTTGTTTGCACATTGGGTTAAAAAAAAAAAAAAAAAAAAAGAAAAAAGAAAAAAAAAAAAGAGAGAGGTCCGAATTACCTTGTCACTTCTATGTCTCGGTGGCGCCGGCTCGGAAATGGTCCCAATGAATTAATTGCCTTTGGTCTCGGGCACAATGAGGGAGAGTTGCATTTGAAAGCAAAGGCAGCGGACAGGCCCCTTTTCCCCCTGCCCCCACTCCCCACTCCCTATTCCCACCTTCCCAGCCTGGCAAAGACGTCCCTACCCTCACAACAACCCACTTCTCCCCCCTCCCCGTTCCTCAATCACTTCAAGAAGCCGGGAAGCGTAGAGAGCGCTGTCTTTCCTCCCTCGTCCCTTAGAGGCTCGTTGAAAAGATCCCATTACGTTCTTTGGAGGCTGAGCGGAGATCCCTAAGGCCTCACCTTCCCCTCAGAGAGAGCAGTCCCTGTCTGCTGGCTGCTCCACTCCTGGGTCCTTGCTGGCCTGGAGGAAGGAGCAGCGGAGCTGTGCTGCATGGATGGCGGGCACACCTGCCTTTTCCAGACACGCAGGGTCGGGGATGCTGCGGCGCTCCGGTTTCCCGGTGCGGAAAGCCAGCGAGAGGCTCAGCGAGCAGACACCGCCATTGCGGGGGGTGTGTGTAGGGGAGGATGGGGAACAGGTAACCTCCCAGCCAGGGTGAATAAACCCCTCTCAAACCCTTAGGCGGTGTTTCATCCCCTTTCTCGCTGCCCTCCTCCCCGGTCCTTCTTGGATGTCAGAACCCCAATACCCTCAGTACACAGGGCCGGGCACGGAAACGCGGAATGGGGTGGAATGGGGGACTTAAGCGGGTTTGCTGGGGAGGCGGACGGCGAGCATCCCTCCGTGCCCGCCCGCCTCCGAGCGCGTGTCTTTGCTCCGGGCTCCCCACGCAGGGCCGTGCTCCGAGGCGTTGGCCGGCAGCCCCAGCGGCGGGGGGGATCACCCCAAGGGCAGCGGAGGCAGCGGCGGCTCCCAGGCCTCGCTGGCCTGCAGCGCCAGCGACCAGATGCGCCGCTACCGCACCGCCTTCACCCGCGAGCAGATCGCCCGGCTGGAGAAGGAGTTTTACCGGGAGAATTACGTGTCCAGGCCCCGGAGATGTGAGCTGGCGGCTGCTCTAAATCTGCCAGAAACCACCATCAAGGTACACGCAGCTCAGACATGTTTCCAATTAGCACGATATAAATCTGTATGGCCAAACTTCCTTGCAAAACTCGGGAAAGCACTTCGCCAGCATAACCCTCCCTCTCAGCTCCCCCCGCCTCCCGCCCCTTTCCTGGCCCTGCCCGCACCCTGCAGCAATGCGGGAGACGGGACACGGCTCCCGGAGCCATCCCGGCCAGCGCCGCTAATCTGTCCTCTCCCCAGCAGATTATTTTTAATCCCCCCTTCGGTTCAGTTCAATTTCGTTCAGCTCTTGGGAGAGGGAAGAGAAAGCCAGGAGAAGATCTTGTTTCGATCTCGCTTTGCTTTGCCTTTTCCAAAACATTTGCACATGAAAATCAACCCCATAGCAACAATCCCAGGTAGTTCTGGATGCGAAAGGGCAGCAGTGAGGCAGAGCCGCCCGGCTGGCCGGGATCCAGGGACTTGGGGCGAGGGGCAGCAGGACAAGCCCTAATAAGCAAAAAGGAAAACAAGCACCCTGAAAGGGCTGCTCCTCTGGGTCTCCCTGTAGATTTTTATAGGGGCTTAACTGATCCCTCTGTACGTGATGACAAGTCCCTCTAGGAGGGAAAGCTGGCGCCGGCCTCCGCTCTCCGGCAGACCCACGTCCGCCGCACCGCCCCGGGAGCAGGGCCGGGGCCGGCGGCCAGGCGGAGAGCGGCGGCGGCGGGTGACGGCTCTCGCCTCTCCTCTGTCCGCAGGTTTGGTTCCAGAACCGCAGGATGAAGGACAAGCGGCAGCGCCTGGCCATGACCTGGCCTCACCCGGCCGACCCGGCGTTTTATACATACATGATGAGCCACGCGGCAGCCACCGGGAACCTGCCGTATCCATTCCCGTCCCACCTGCCCCTGCCCTACTACTCCCACATGGGCATCGGCGCCACATCGGCCTCTGCCGCCACCCCCTTCAGTACTCCCCTGAGGCCTCTGGACACCTTCAGAGTCCTCTCCCACCCGTACCCGAGACCAGAACTGCTGTGCGCCTTCAGACATCCCTCTCTCTACCCCCCAACTCATGGACTCAGCAGCACCGGGGGCAACCCCTGCTCCTGCCTGGCATGCCACAGCGGCCAGTCCAACGGGCTGGCGCAGAGACCCTCCGGATCAGACTTTACCTGTTCGGCCACAACCAGGACTGACTCCTTTCTCACTTTTACGCCCTCTGTGCTGAGCAAAGCCACCTCAGTTTCCATGGACCAGAGAGAAGAAGTACCTTTAACGAGATAAACCTTTGTCTCAGGGTCATTAAATACTCATTCCTTTCTCGGACTTCTCTTCGAGTTAATGTACCTACAGTCCATGTTTATTTAATCGTGTTCTCTCCTCAGCCGCGGACACCCACAGAAAAACAAAACAAAACAAAACCAAAACAACAAAAAAAAGGAAAAAAAAAAGAAGAAAAGAGACTAAAATTAGCTCAGTCTTAAAAGGATTTACATTCCAAGTGGGGGGAGGGGGGGGAATAAAAGAAAGAAGGAAAGAAATTACTAGTGATTTATCTCTGAGAAGGAATTTAGGCACGAAGGAGGAAGAAAATCAACTCGAATGAAATATGGTCCAGCCAGCCACCTATAGAAATGTGCTGGGACTTTCTTTTCCGTGGACAGACTTCTTCCCAAGGGCTGGGGGTTCTGCGGATCACAACAAACCTTATGCACAAACCTATGAGACGAAGAAGGAAAATCTGAAATACTTGAAACACTATCTTTATAACGAAATGGCTTGTGCGCATGAAGAAAGCAAAGATGTAATCCCTCAGTGTTCAGAAAATAAAAACAACACGCAAACAACAGAAATAAACCCCAAAAGGTTTCCGGTTTGCAACTCGGCAGTCTTATCCAGTTGTCTCTATGGAAAATAACAATGATTTACCATAAAGAAAACCTGTCATTCTGTACATTACTTTCGTAGTTTAATTGCATTCTTTGCCCTCCCTTGTCTCGTCCTTCGTTGTGAGCAGAAATCCAGCATTTCATTTCCTCTTTCATTCCAACTTTTATTTTTAAGAGACAGACTGGAACTGGCAGGGGAAAAATACGAGCTCCTGCCTCTTTATGGGTCAGAGCTATTTGTCCTTTAAATAACAATGTCCTATTACCAGTCGCTGAAATGTGCACACACGGACGAAATTAGCAAGTGATGTATATGTAAAGAGGGTTTTTGAATATCGAATGTACAATGCTCTGCGAGCAAAGACCCCGTGCCAAACGCTAACAAGCCGCCAAGGGAAGAGATTAGAGGTGACAGGGAGCACAACTCCTTCAGACAAGCACCAGTCTGTAAATTGGAGCAAAGGCTATTTCCCTTCCTTTGTGCTTCAGCCTTCAGTTCTCTCATTGCCTTTTCCTTGCCGTGTCTTCTATTTATTAATTTTTAAATTTTATTTTTTAAGTAATTATTACATTTGTCAGTTTTGTGTTTCATTCTCCATCCCTGATCTTTGCATTTGTGTGTGTCCTTCACACTGATCACTCTTCCTTCTTAAAGAGTATTTCTTTCACAAAGTCACCCACCCGTCTCCTATCCAGAAAGTAATTCGGAAGAAGGTAGCATAATTGCTTTTGCTTGGATTTCTGTAACCCTAAATTTAAAAAAAACACGGGCACGGAGCTGGGTAGTGTTTTCTTTCAAAACCGACATTATTTATTTCATTCTGTTTTAAAATAGCCCAAAGAATACACTGCCATAATTTGTTACCATGTCGGAATAAAACTTAATAGCAACAAAAATAACAACACCAAAACCCATAATAACGACACGTTTTAACAACCTCTCGCCCATATTGTAGTCGTGCTTGTTAAGGAAAAAAAAAAAAAGTTAAAATGTTACTTAAGACGAATTTCACCGTGCAGTTTCTAATAGTTACAGTTCAACAAGCAGGAAAATAAATGCTGGACAGAACAAAGACTTGTTGACACCTCTGTATCTACTTTGTACTAAATTGCTCAGAAGCCTCTGGTTTATTGCCACACCGGAGACTTTTTGTCTTTAGGAGAGGGAATGCATAGCAGCGTTTCCCTATAGCGGATGGAGAGCAGGGAAGAGACATGGGCATACCAGGACATATTTTTTCCAATAAAAAATATTTCTTATTACAGCTTTTAAAAACCCCATCCAAAGTCACAGTCTTTAAATTATTAACGCCAGATTATTCTTATTCCACCCTTTGAAAATTAGATTTCCTCATGGACATGGAAAGCAATGGCCCTTTTTGGACACTCACAAATAGATTCTTCCTCCCTGCCACCGGCCCCCCCCCCCCCCCCCGCAAATAACAATTATAGATAGCGTCCAAGGGCAGAGACGAACAACATCCCTTTGCAAGCTTTGCAAGTCTTTCCCCCTCTTTTATTTCGTCTTTAATCAGACAGAAGAACCAGTCCGCTAAAATAGGAGCTGTGGAGCCAGCGCTTGATATCACTCCCCCAGCAACCCCGGGAAGAAGGGAGCGCTGAAGAGGTCGGGGGAGGGGTAGGACGGCAGATGAGCGCTATCCACCAAAAACAGGGTCCCTTACATAGCCCACAAACCCCACACTCCTCGGCCAGGTGCAGGCACCTGCTGGGCCGAAGAGCGCAGGCCAAGATGCAGCCGAGGCTGCTGCTGCGATCGCGGCATCAGTTTGCTCTTGCAAAACGACCAGTGCAGAAAATGCCATCGGCTGGTGCACAAATACGTATATTTTATGTGTCTAGGTGCGTGTGAGAGAAAAAGAACATTTAAGCCTCTGATTACCACTGCCACTCGTGACTGAGACATCCTCCCCTTAGCAAACGGGGAGCGGGAGGCAGGAACAGGGAGCGGCCGCAGCCGGCGCGGTCCCCGCTGTCCCCTCCCGGTCTCCCACTCTCGGAGGATGGCGCGGCAAAGGGTGCCTGTGAATTTCTCCGCGGCTCGGTCACAGGGCAGAGATTGCCTGCGACAGGTAAATAGGCTGCGGGTCGCGGTAATGCCAAGAGTATTTTCAGTTAATAGGGGAGGGAAAATGAGGTGTCTGGAGCGATATTGGAAAGTACAAGATCGATGATCCGTCCTCGTGTCCAATCAGCAGCCTTTAATTGACTGTATTTTCTAGGTAATTGAGCCGCTGTGCTCCTAAATTGAAGTGGAAGATATAACAATACATCTCAGTGGGAGGAATTACTCATTACTTCATAATGAAATTTTCCATTTGCTGCGTGGGGCCGATGCCGTTAACACCTTCGCCTCCGGTGGTGGTGTCCCCGGCCCCACGTGGGGTGTTGGCTCCGGGCACGCGTGGGGCATTGACGGCGGCGAGGGCACACGCAGGGCACCCAGCCGGCAGCAGGTCCTGCCTTTGGCCCCGAGCCACTGCCACCAAGCAGGCAGGTTTCCACGGCCTCGCCCTGGTCGGGGATGAGACCCTTCGAGGAACCGGGGTGAGGGCCCGGGGGAGCCGGTGATGGGCACCTGGCCTCCTCACCAGCGGGAGTGGAGTTGTCTTCGGGGTGCCCCATGTGCTACATCGGGTTCGCTCCCTGGCCAGCCAAATTTAGCTCCTAAAGGCGGTCCCTCCAACCGCCCCCCCCCCCCCCCCGCCTTGTTAGCGTTTGATTGATTGCCTTATTAAAGCGTGTTCTTGTAAGTGTGACCGAGCTGATTGCACTGCATATGTTTGGGATAATGCTCATTTTAAACAACTGAATAATAATACTACTAATAAAAAAAGGACCAGAAGAGGAAGAAGATGAGCTCTAGAGAACGGGTTAAGCCTAAACGATCCCGGGGAGCAGCGCTGTAACTCGCGCATTAAATTGGTCCTTTGCTATCAAATCACTCAGCCCATCTTTGTTGTCTTTTATCTGTCACCTCCTGTACCATTAAGTGAAATAGCAACGAGACTGACGCTTACTTTCCCGTCTCAGACTATACGTTTTTATTAAGGTTGTATGATTAAACTGGATCGGATCTGCTTTTCCAGCAGTATGCTTTACCTCAGCGCCTAAATCATTGGCAAACCGTCTCTCCATATTTCACGTTTTCTGCTGGGTTGTTCGGTCGTTTGCCAGCACCTGCAGAAAAGCATGCGGCTCCTTTGGCTTTTTGGCTTGTCTATCTGAAAGATCTTTTGTTTTCTATTATTCTCCTGCTCGCCTGGATACTTTATTCTAGTACCGAGTTTAGCCCCTGAAAGCACCCTCCACCATATGTCACCCCAAGGCTCGCTGTCCTGCCTCTTACAATAGTGTCACCCTGGGGTAAAGCCCACGTCAGGATGAGCTGAAGTCTCTTTAACACAAATGGCTTCATTTATGTGCATCAGGTTCCTGGGTGGATGTAAAGGGGGAGAGAAACCAGCCCCACACGCCTTTTGCTTCATCCTTCTGCCCGGAGCCCCTTACTGCTTCATTCAGATCTTCTCACTTCTCATTTTGAAGGGCGGGAGTGTCCTGTCCTGACTCTGGAGAGCTGGTACTGCGGCAGGGATGCGGTTATGGTAGGTTAGGGTAGATCCCCGCCGAAACTGGTCCCTGTTGCAGGAAGTTTTTCTTCTTTCTCTCTCTTAGGTAGGAGGAAGAAGAAATAGTTAGTTCAAGATCTTCTACCAAGAAAACAAATAGATCACAACCTCTGGCCTCCAATTCACCCTTTGCTCCCACCCCACTTTTAAAAAAATTTTTTTTAATTTTTTTTTTTAATCACTTACACTGAGTGTATCTACGACCAAGAAGGTAGTGCAGGTTTACACTAATATTTACAAACCTCACTTTAAAGAATTTCGATCGGTATATTTCATGCACATATACACACAGAGCAAACACATAAAGTGATTTTCCCTGCTGCCCTCTCTGCAAAGGAGTGCCTGGGACTTCAGAGACAGAAATTGCCACTTAAGAACATCACATGAAAGTATTAAGTAATTATTTAAAACAAGGCTGTTTAGAAAAATATTTGTGTTTATTGCAGCTGCTCGATTGGCCTCGTTAAATCTGGGGAGCATTTAAATTGTGTTACAGTCTCATTTAAATCCAGTTTCGTTCCAGCAGGCTGCAAAGCCTGAATAGAACCAATCACTCCATAATGATGATGAATGAGAAATTAATTCAGATACAAGCAAGACAATTTAGGCCTTCATCTGTTTAAATAGCCTTCCAAGATTATTCGCAATTGCAGGTCACAGATTTAATCAATTGTCCAATCTTGTGAAAGTCATATCCTTGCATCTTCATCGAGATTATTTATAGCTCGGTGAAGCCCAGTGAAAGGTATACACTCTTAGCAGGAACAATTACTTAAAGAGAATAGTTTGCAAAATGAAAAACAAATGCCTCCGTGGACGGTAAACGATCAAACACTTCCTCGCTCTCCCGACACATCCTCCCCGGCCTGAGGAAAGGAACGGAGCTGCAGGTGGGGGATAAAGGGGACCATCACCAAACTCCATCCCTGCCGTATCGGCTCCTATGCTCTTCAGCGCAACCACCCGCACTTTTTCCGTGGACACCCAGTCTAGTCTCTGCGGGGCCACGCGTTGCTCGTGAGGGCGATGGCCGCAGAAATAACACGTTAAAAAGCGGTTTTTAAACAGGCAAGAATACGCAAACCGCGCCGCTGCTCAGCCCGGCTCAGCCAAGCTCTCCTGCGGGGACACCTGTCATTTTCTGCCTCTGAGTGGCTCCTATCGAGATATATAAATATATGTGTACCAGCAGTCCCGTTTTACGCCGAGCCCTGCGAATGCCCCGGCTCAGCCCTGCACACAGCCAGCCTCCCTCTGGCGCGGTGCTCGCCCGGCTCGGGATGAAGCCGGCAAAGAATCATTGCACCGCTCCTGGAAGCGCCGGCTCTTTCTGCCTGGTGCTCTTTCCCAGCCTCGCCTGGGAAAACCCGAGGTCCCGAATAACTCAGGGTTAGTAAAGCCTCTACAAAAGTGGAAATAAACCGCTTTCGTAACGGTGAGAATTGTTTTATTTCTCGAAAAAGAGTTAGAAAGCAAGGAAGAGACCAGGTATAACTGCCTCCTCCCGCTTCTCATCCTTTTCGAAACACTTCCCACGTACCCGGAGCCTTCATCCCCCCTGGCACTGAAGCCCTGTCTGGGGCTCTTGCAGGCTCCTGCCCAGACCCGAGGGGTGATCCCGGACTCGGAGAAACACCTGCTGCCCGACAGAGGCTTACCCCAGCGCACAGGGAATTCAGTGCGAAGGGAAAACCTGGGGTATGATGGGGTAGAACCCGGCCCCACGCCCTCTGTCCAAGGGACTGTGAAGGTGGGAGCTCCGAGGTCCGCTGGGCAGCGCGGGTCCTCCGGCCCCGTCTCACTGCTGGGGACGAGGGGCTCACCGAAGAGCCCCTGGGAGCCACCACCCTGGGAGTCTGACCGCAGAGAGGGGTGGTTTCATGGGTGGGAGTGTGCGAGGGTCAGCACAGGTGGGTCAACAGGAGGTGAGACGTCCTCCCAGTGACCCGGGAGCCCCGCATCAATGGAGTTTTTCCTACGGAAAGGGCAGCGTGGGGCTCATCCACCCACGGGCACTACTGGGCTGGGGAAACGCGAGAGTTTCGGGCAGCAGAGCGGGCCAGAGCAGCCGTGCGGGTGCGCAGCCCGACTCGGGAAGCTGGAGCAGTGCCTAAAACAAAAGCCTGCCTACAGGACCCCCAGAGCTCCAAGGAGCCGGCCTCAGCGACAGACTTTGATGTATCGCTGTCCAATTAGTGCCTTTAATTGGTGTCCTCTGGGACAGGCAACCCGGGAGCTGCGGCGGCGAGAGCTCTCTCGGCAAGCTCTGCCCGCTCGCAAGGTACCAGATAAATAATGCGGCCGGGCGGTAGGAATTCCCTATCCCTCTCCCTCCGAGAAACGGCCAAGCAAACCCGAGGCTGTTTGCAAACCTCCCCGCGAAGCTCCGTGCCCACGGACACCCGTGTGCCCAGGCAGGAAGGGACGTGGGGTGTAGCTGCTCCCACATTTATCCCGCCCCGGCGATCGACGCCCCCTCCCCGCCAGCTGACCCCCCCTCACTAGCGTGGAAACGACGCTGCTTAACACATACCGCACGTTCCTTCCAGTTTGGCTAATAAAGGTCGCCTGTTAAGCGTAATTTTAGAGGTTAAATGAGGCTGACTGCAGATTTAAGGATGCTTGATAAAACGTCTTATTTGAATGACACGAATTGTATATATAGATGCCATTACAGCGGTCTAGATTTACCTTGGGGGAGGAGGAGCAGGAAACAAAGCAAACACTCTAACAGGGAGGGAGGAAAACGCTTAGCCAATTTATTCTAAACCAAAAACGCTTGGTCGAAAGAAAAATTGATCGCTTCATTCATCAAATGAATAAAATACATTTCTGAGATCAGAAGGTGCTCGAAGAGAGAGAGAGAGAGAGACGGGGCGAAAGTTCGTAGTTGACAAGAACCGTCAAAAGGAGCAAGACGTCATTGGAAGCTCACCTTGAAGTAATTCTGGTTTTCTTCTACTTTATTCTCCTTTTTCCTTTAATTTTAAAAATTTTCATTTATTTATTTTTTTTTTTTCGGGTAGTCATAAAACGTTTCAAGAAAAAAAAATCATCTGAAGCCAGAGGAAAATGAGATTTTTTTGATGAATAAGGAAATCAATTTGGCAGAATGGAAAGGAGGCTGACTTCTCAAACTCGCTGTTAGCAGAGGCATCTCTGGGGAAGACAAGCAGTTTGAGGCCGTTTTGGGAGCCATCAATCCCTAGTACCCGGGTACACCTCAAAACTAAGCCACCAGAATTTTTACAAGAAAGCCTCTCTGATCGATATTTGTAAGCTGAACTACTTTACTTGCTCTTCTGAAGCTGTGTATTCAGTGTTAAAATATTGTAATTTCGTCACATTCTTCCCAAGCAGTATTACAGGGTTACATTAGAGGCATTTTTATGTACAGTCTCCAGAAGATATGTGTACGTGGGTCCTGCACTGTCACCAAAAATCACAGCCTGAGAATCCCACATCCTCACTCCTTACAGAGAGACCTTACTTTGCACAGGGATGGGTACTCTCCATATCCTATTCAAGAGCAAAGACCCTATCAGTCTGGTCAGCCACTTTTCTCAATAGTTTGATTTCACATTGCTAAATTTGTATTAAATAAACATTTTATTCCCTTTGTATTGCTTGCCTGGCAGCAAATTCTGAAGGTCCTTACTTGTCCTAAAATACATTTTTGCCTACATAGGAGAAATTTGCTTACTTGTGTTGCAGTGCAGGATCAAAGATGTGTTTCAGAACAAATAAAGCAACTACTAAATCCACACAATTAATATGAATTACTCCTGGGAATTATTCTACGATTACTCTAACATTTACTCAAGCCTGTGTACTTCAGGGATGGACGTTTTCTCTAATGTGGAGGCATTTAGTCATAGGTTCCAAAATCACTTTCCATAAATGAAGTAAAATTTAATCCAAACTCAAACGGTCTGATTTACTATACCGCAGCTCTGTAGTAGCCCAATCTTGCCTCCTCTCACGACTAAAAATGAAGCAAAAATCATGCAGGAAAGAGAAAGGAGGAAAAAAAGTGTGTTTATGCTCCCATTTCAGCTGCCTGAAATGTGGAGTGAGGTGTATTCTGGAGGCAGGAGAGCACTCAGCCTGTTGACAGGTGTGGGTTTGGCTCTGAATGACGTTGTAAATCTGCTCCTCTTTTAACAGAGATATGGATTTAGGCAAATGGACAAGTTTGAATGTCTGAGCCATTCTCAGCCCCTAGCAGTGCATTACTGCCCATTAACTCTGGCTCGAGGTACAAGAAAACAGAGGCTACATGACCTTATATGCCCCTCTTCCTCTGTTTTGGCTGTCACAGCTTCCCACCTGAAATCCTGCATGTCATTTGGGTCACAAAGGCAGGTTTTTACAAAAGAGCTGTACTGAAGCATTGAACAACTGAATCGTGCGTTGATGGTAAGGAGACAGCTATTCCTGCATCTCTGTGTCTCCATTTAATCTAATCTAACTTCAGATCGTGACACCAGGTCCACCAAAAAAAAAAAAAAAAAAAAAAAAAGCTGTAGCATCACTAATTATTATTCCTTTCTTTTGGTCAGTCACCAAAATGATGTCATTAGCTCAGTCACCATCCATGTGTCTGACCCATACTGATTTTTTGTACTATATTCCAGTTGCCACTTGTACCTCAAGGGCTGTGTGCAAGCATTCATAAAATGATAGTGCAAGATAGGATAAAGGACATAATGACCTCTATTTTCTGATACTGTTCCACAGGAAAAAAAAAAAGCCATGTTCACTAGTGGGAGTTTGCTGTGGGCTCTCCAGATCCAGATGCAGGAATCAGAGATGCTGGCAGTCTGTGCTGGCTCCCAGTGCTGATTTCCCTGGCATTGTCCCAGAGGGTATTCCCCAAATCAACATTCCCCAGCCAAACCCAAATTGCACTTAACACCACAAAGGGGCAGCCACCACAGATTTGGAGCAAGTGATGATCAGCCATATCACGAAGTTTTAGTGTGTTCAGAATCTTAAGCAATTCCTACAGCCAAGGCCAATTTTTGTGTTTACTTTG